CGTCTCCCGGGGTAGTGCTCACCGTTCTTGCAAGTGATATCGATAGTGGCGATAATGGCATGATCTCAAGGTATTCACTGGATGGAGATGATGTTTTCAGCATTGATGACATCAGCGGAAACATTAGTTTAGTAGATCGCTTAGACTACGAGTCAGGAGACGTTCAATTTACCTATGTTGTGTCGGCCGTGGATGGAGGTTTACCTAATAACACTGGGTAGGGACAATTAATTTGTTTTTTGTGGAATGCATCATTTAGCTTTAGTTGAAACTGTAATTAATTGAAATCATTGTTTAATTTCTTCATCATTTATATTAATTATTCAGTGGAATTTATGGTAATTTTCTGAGAAGATTTTTGCAGTGGTGCCATTTTGGGCCCAGCATTTTAAAGAAAGTTCTCTGTCCAAATGTATTATCCAACCTGCCTAAATCCATCGAAATATGTTGTATCCCATAGAATTTGATTGATTGCAAATGCTCAAAAATTGACTGACTTTTCTCCCAGTGGCAAGGCTTTTTTAACTAAAAACTATTTACTTTTTCATTACATTTCATAGAACTGTCTCCTTGATTATAACCATATTGAATGAAAATGATGAAACGCCAGTCTTCAACTCTGATAGTTATAGTTTTACAATTCTTGAGGTAAGTACTTAAGTTTGTGTATTTTTTTGGCTTATATGAATATATGTTTGGTTGTGCAGTTTAATTTTGTTTTCTATTTTAATTTAAAATTAACTCTTACCTCATTCATTATCACCGAAAAAGAATGTCACACATTCTCTACAGTTGCAATAAAGTTCTTATCAGTGTTTTTGTGGGTTAGTGCATAATAAAGATTTTCAATTTTTATCCCACAGAATGCTGTTATTGATACTTTTGTGGGACGCGTCATGGCAACCGATGCAGATGGCGATACCATCATTTACACTGTAAATCCAACTGATGGTAAGTGTACATGGAATTGTATTTCTATAATAGTTGCTATAAATGTAGTACCTCCAGTACCGTATTTGCTTTATTTACATCTGTACTAAACAAACGTTTGCATAAATATGTGGAGGCAAACAATATTCTGAGCCCTTGTCAAACTGGATTGAGGCCTGGGTACAGAACAACTGATAACATGTTCATTCTTAAAACTGCCATTGACAAATATATCAACAATACTGAGAATAAAAAAAAGGGTGGTAAACTATTTGTTGGTTTTGTAGATC